CAATCAGGCCAAGCAGAATATTCATGTTTTTAGTTGTCAGGCTCCCTGCAGTTACAGCATCAGACTGACCGTGTAAGTGAATCTGGTTTATCTAAATGAAAGCCTCGCTGTATCATCATTTCCTTGACTGAGACACCAGCGAGAGCCCTGGAGCTTTTTTTGGAATCATTGCTCACGAAGGCCTGTCAAGTCACCCAGTCTAGGAATGCAAAGACAATGACAACATCACATCTGTAAGTTTCTCTGTGTTTGTGTGCATCTTCATAAAGAAACTGGTGTGTATTGCACTGTGTTGGAGGTGGACTCTGACTGACAAAGCATAGATGTGAATTCAGGCAGCTGGGTAATGACAGGAAATCATATTAACGTTGTAATTTGAATTTGGATACATGTAGCTGAAAAGGTGTTATGGCTTCATTTTCTTTGGGTTTAGATAAAGAAACTTTAAAGCACCCTATGATACTGTATAGTATAGTGTGGGAGTACCTGAGACGCTTGTGTTACCTTGATAGTGATGCGGAGTGGATTTGCTACACCTTGCCAAATCCCTCGTATCTGAAAGTATTTCTGGCCAGGAGCAAAATGCGGCTGCCAGGAGGATCTTACTCAGATTCTGAAGGTCATTCAAATGAATATATAATCTCCATTGATCTCTGTCTATTTGAATTTTAGTTTGAGCTTTTTAGCTCAGAGCACTGCAAGTCTGTGGAGAAAGGCAATGTACTGACTTTAAAATTGCGTGTGCGTTCACAGAAAGCAGTGTATCGAGCTGGAGCAACAGTTTGATTTCCTGAAAGACCTGGTGGCAACGGTGCCGGATATGCAGGGCGAGGGGGAAGAGAACCACACCGAGGGGGGAGGAGAGAAAGTCCCACGTAACCACACACACCAACACACACACCACACAGAACCACACCGAACAAGACCACACGCAAACAATGTTTGGGTATACCACCCATGGAACTACGAGGGTTTAACGGGTCAACACTTCAAAGTTAACACCAGGAAACTTAGATCTGCAAAGTTGTACTTTACACACATTACTAGTCCAGGATAATGTGATATTTGATGTGCCCTATCACTGTATCATGCAGCTGAGTTTGACTCATTAATCTGGTTTATCGCCTGATTAGTCAATTAATCATTCAGTCATCTCTGATAAGTGCGTGCACGCACACTATTACGTAGAAGAAATTAATCACAAATAGTCCTCAAACAGAAGGAAGGTTACCTTTGCTTTTCCAGGAACAGCTACTACTGTAAATTAAAATAGACCAAAGCAATATGTTTGTCATTCTTGCACTGTTACCATACCACTGTTTCCATTTTGTTTTGCGATTATAGATTAATTACAAAAAAAAAGGAAAGGGAACATTTATACAGCTCTACAGAGCGTGAACTAATTACTGAGGATTGTAGAGAAGAAAAAGCAGTATTGACTGTCAAATCAAACACTGGCACTGCAGCTAAATTGAAGCAGAGAGCTTGGCAGAGAATTACACATTAATGAAAGGAGTTAGAAGCTTTTTTCCCCCACTAAAGAGTGTGGCTGATTCGATTGTGATTCAATTTAAAGTGGTTGTAAGCTCCTAATGTTTAGACACTTTGTCTCAGCTATGGGAATGAGGCATGTGGAGTCACAGCTTCTTTGAATATAAATGGCACAAAGTAATTTCCACCAGCATTATCGGTCACATTATTCCCTGCATCAGAACTGTCTCTGTTTGTCTGAATGAGGCATGGACAGGGGACTGCCCCAGTAGATTTCTGCTGCAGAACGGCTGATTTCTAATTAGTTTTAGAAGCTATTCTAATATGGCAGACTTTAAAATTGAAAACAAAATTTAAATTTTGTCAAATGGGTGCACAAAGAGTTACAATAGTATGTGTAAATCAGGGCATCTTTGTTTGTGTTGTTGTTCAAAGAAGCTAAAGGGGAAGTCATTTAAAACCTCCCACATTTCTCTTACCAAACCATCTTTTGTAATAATATCACCACTAAATACATCTGTTAAGTAAGGGGTAATGCCCAACGAGGTGCAAACCATAATTTAGTTTCCCTGGTAACGCCTGAGGGTTTGACTAATACCTGGAACAATCATTACCCTCCCGTAAGGTTCTTATGCAACGGAAACGTTGTCCACTACTCCAGAAAATATCAGAAAGCTTAGACTTTGTAACTATGAAGTTTTCTACAATGGAGCAAGAACAAAGTGATTAGTAAATGACAGTAAAACATTTCTGAATGAAGTGCCAAATGATTTTGAATGATAAAATCAGTTAAACGTGTGATCAGTTGGTGCCTTGTGTAAGTAGCTTTCAGAACAAACAACAGATAGAGCAGTCATTTATCATTACTAGTCAACACGTGTAGAATCTTGGAGCACGACCCTGACTTATACCGCTGCAGAAATGTTTCTTTCCCCAAAAGCTGAAACGGCAAGTACGACAAATGTTTCTTTCTTTTTTGTTTTCTCCCCAGGGGTCGAAAACCAGGGTCTGGCCGCAAGAATGGAGGGGCTGGCTCCAAAGGCAAGGACAAGAAGTTGTCTGGCACAGAGTCAGAGCAAGAGGTGGGAGTTGATTTGCATTCAGAAGCTAATAGCTATCTACGGTTTGACGGAGTTTGGTGCCTCACTCTTGAGAACGCAACAAGACATTTTGAGCACAAACAAATATTTTTGCAAGCATATAAACGATATTTTGAAGAGAAATGATCATGACAAACAAATCTATTCTGTGCTCAAAGCATTTATTTGCGTGTTTCCTATTATCCACATCATTGCACAACCGTACCATTTTACTTAGTGGCCCTCTCTCTGATTCCCTGCTGTGTGCTCCATGCACACTCAGTGTTTTTCTTGCTGTCTCAACACCTCTGCTCTGTGTGTCCTCAGGGTTGCCTGTTTAGTTCTTTATACAGGTTTTTATCACATACAGAGTTTAATGAAACTCTATTTCATTCTATTTGTAAGTTAGTGTGCACTTTATTAGCTTGTAGCTTTACTACTCACGTAAGTATTGTTTATCAGGAAGATTGCTATCTAACTATGAACAAAGTTAACTTGGAAGCTAATAGTGGAGACAAAACTTTACAATATTAGGATTTTATAGGTCTTTAACCAAAACTGTCTTCATTACTTCTGTGTGGCTAATTCCTCGTCTCTCCCAGTGCTTCCCTACGTCCCTAGTAACCAAATCCTTGTAGCAATCTGATTGTAGACAAAACTGCCACTTGGAAATGAAGTTGAGCTGATATGCAGACGAACCTGATAGCACACAGAGCAGAGATGTTGAGAGGACAGGAACATTGATAGAGCGAAATTAGTAAGACTTGGTGAGGTTATCATTGTCACACAAAATATAGTTATCTGTTGGCAAAAATGTTGTTATTGCTTGCATAATAATTTCTCTGCAAAATCCATACAGTTTGATTGATTTGTGCGTGTTTGAGGTAAGAAGGCTCACTGGTGTGTCTGTTGTGATGGAAACAGGATGACTCTGAGGACAGTGAGACAGATGGAGACGAGGAGGATGGCTCTCAGTCAAGCACAAATCTGCAGGCTGCATCCAGGTTCCACAGGTATGGACACAGCCCTTATATATTGAGACATTGTATATCCAGATAGTGTCTAGAGAGGAGGATTTGGTATTTGGTGCTATGTTGTATGCACATACTGTTGTTGCTGCCCTGTGAAAATCATGTATTTCCAAAAAGTACATTTCTTATTACCTAAGAAAAACAGCCCTGTTTTCAGTATTGTGACAATAAAAATTTCAGATAGGCCAATTAATTTCTAAATGTTTGTATAAGAAGTAAAAGCCCAAAATGAAGATTTAATCTATTAGTTTATAAAAAAAATCAAACAAAATTTGTAGATATTTATGGTTTTCACTGGACTCAGTAAAACACAGTTTTTCAATATGGGCACATTTGAGCCCCTTTCATATGGAACCCCAAAATGTTCAATGTTTATGAATTAGACATTATGAAATAAATAATCATATGAATAAATTGTGTAAAATATATAAATGAACTAACAATTTGTGAAATAATAGAAGACATAATTAAAACTCATTACTATGAATTTTTGGCGTTCTTCTTTATTGGATATCCTCTTCATTTCATCAAGACCTTTTATTAGACACATATTTCAGAATGGCATTTTTCCCAATGACGGTTCCTAATGTCCATTTTGTTTTCATGACAGTGATGTCACGTACCCCTGGCCTCTCTTAGCAGGCCCAACATCTGATACCAAATTGAGCCACTAAGCTCCTGTGAGCTGGAATAGAATAGAAGAGCAACAGGGTGAAAGATCCTAAAAACCTTTGTATACAGGGCGGCCTCTAGGTCACCTGGTGGTGCTGGTGCCCGATGTGCCTGGCCCTCAGCGGCCAAGGGTTCGAGTCCAACCTGAAGGCCCTTTGCTGTGTGTCATAATACATTTTTATTATACATATTTAAAAAAAAAACAACCTTTGTACAACAACCGTAGTAATCAGACCAGCTGTCTTGTCCCTGATATTTTCAACTTGCCGACTGCATGTGTCGTTCGTAATTAAGACTGGTGGCAAAATAAGTGTTAAATCAACCCACCTTTACTTTTATAGCACCTTTCATACAAACATGCAGCCCAAAGCGCTTTAGACAGCAAAATGTATACAACACAGACAGGAAATTCAATCAAAAGTTGAACAAAGAATACAATTTTGCAGGACTAAAAATGAATACAGCAAAAACAGTGAACCATGGACCAAAAATAATGTAAAAACCAACGACTAAAACTTAAAAACTAAGGCTATAAAATTATATAACATTTATTTTGGCTGCAATCATACTTGAACTTACACAGTGTAACAGCAGCAAGACTCATCAAGTCAGTGAATTTCGCTAACATTAGCCACCATTAGCTGGTGTGTAATGAGTTATTGCTTATCATTTCCACTTCTCTCACTCAGAGAGAGAATGTCTTCTCTCAAAATTCAACAGAAAATAGTAAGAAAAATCTGGTGGATTGTATACAGCCAGAAACAGGGAGAGGGCGCTGTTTTTCCATGAGAGATAAAACCTTTGCTGTGTCCCTGTTCCACACTACTTTCTCATTCTGAGCTTCTCACCGCTGAAAAAAATTCAAACAGCTTTGGAGGGTGGTAAAACAGCTTTGTGAACACCCCCGAAAATAACTGTGATGTCCTTGGAAATACACATTTCTGTGTGTTTAATTGGCAGTGACGGTCCCATGCTGACTGACATGCAGTTACATATTTATTTTAGTTATTGCAGTTATTTGATCATTTCTTGTGAGTGTAAAATTATTAAATATGTAGATTTTTTGAATAATGACTGCAAAGAGGGTATACCATGGCAATAAGTATATAGTACATACTGTATATATTATATATGGGTATGTAGTGTAGAGTTGGGACACACTGCTTGAGAGCGTATTGAGTGGGAACGACAGCAGAAATGTAAATTCCACTGATTTATTGACCTTTAAATGGATATTACCTTCACTTAATGATTGCCACAACTCCTAACACCTGGTTTACGCCTCTGCCTGCACCCCCCGCAGCTCAAACGCACCCCCCCAGTACATGCACATGGGCAACATGGTGTCAATGGGCAGCATGGCTCCAGCACAGCCCCAGGGCGGCATGGCCTTCGCCCCCCACCCCTCCATGATGAGCGCCGCACCGCCTCCCCCACCCCCTGCGCCGCACAAAAATGAGGACGACGACGATGAAGACTATGACTCTTAGCTCCCTCTTCCCTCCTCCTCCACCACTCTCGCACACACACACACAGACACACACACAGTCTTTTCAACATCATTTTCGATTTTTTAAGTTCTTGCGGTGGGCGCTCTAAGCAGAGGAGGGAAAGACTCTTCATCGCAGCCCGCTGACAGAAAAAGCCCTCGGCAGCAGGCTGTAAGAGACACCGCCGCAGGAGACAGAAAACTGGTTGTATATTATGTGTTTTAATTTTCCTTTTTCTTTTCTTTTTTTTTTTTTTAAAAAGAAAAGGTTTTATTTTATTGTAGAGGAAAATCCAATGAGGATGTTTTTTAACCAGTCAGTCATTCTATTTTGACTATTAAAAATGGCAGTTGTCACTGTTTTTGCCATGAGCCCCCGCAGACAGGATAGGTGTGGTTTGTGTTGCCTTGTAGCTTTTCTTTTGGCATTTTTTCTTTCTTCTTCAATCCTCTGTAGTAGACATTATGAAGTGGACAAATCAGTTACTGAAACCCTCAGGTTGGCTGAAAAAAAAAAAAAAACCGAAGTGGTAGTTAAAGTCTTATAATAGCCTTTGATGCTCATACGAAGGCGGCTAGTCGAGGTGGGTTCAGGGCAGCAGTTTGTAAAGTATTTGGAAAGAGATCAGCACTTGTGGAAGGGAGAAGGAGGTCATCGTCTCACCCATGAAGTGATCTATTACTATGTTATCGATTGGCTATGAAATACTGCTGTTAAGATGTGAGCCCTACTTCCCGGCTTTGTCATAACGTGCTAGTCAGTCCAATTGTCAGGCTGTAGCATAAACAAGGAAGCAGGTGTATTTTTACTATAGGTTAGCTGGCCCACAGCTTTTTTGAATTTGTTTCTATTTTTAATTCACGTTTTTATCAACTGTAAACCTCCAAGACAACAGCCCTGAATTCAACCATATCAGCTGGTTAATGATTTACATTTTGTTCGTTGTTTTTGACGCTGTCTGAGGTAAGTTGCTCTGGCAGTTGGACCCGGTACAT